CAATTTCCAAATTATTACGATATAATAAAACACTCTTTAGCACTAAAACCCCAAAGAACGTATTTCCATATTGGTTTGATGATTGAAAAGGCACCTCAGTTTCTTACAGGCCCATTATGAACATCTATACCCACTGCTTTTTAAAATAAATCCCTGATATCAGCTTGTCACAATTCTGTGCATGTGAGATTCCTGCTGCTCACATTCTACATCAATGGGAGTTTGCTTCTAGGGTGATTGTCCTGGAGAATGATGAAGGCAAGACCTAGCTTTTGCTTGTTGACTCATGATGCCTGAAAAAAATGACCATAAATAAAAATATATGCTGGATGTTCTTTCTGAGAAGTAGGAAATAGAAGTGCTGATATCCCCTAGGTTAGGTGAGTGTCCTTCAAGTTATAAGTTATTCAAATTAATGCTGTATGGCACCTTTTCATTCATCAGTATCTCTCTTTCCCTGATCCTCGCCAAGCTTCGTTTCCCCCTGCAAGATTCTGGGTTAAAGGATCTAACATCATAAAGAGAACAAGTGCAGTAGATCAGTAGGAAGGAACAAAGAAAGATCAGGAAGTTACAGCTTAAAGAATAATTGCAATAAACTTGAAAATTGCCCCAGAGTATGCGCTCATGAAAATACACACATACATGCAAAAAACCCAAAACTCTATAAATATGCAATTTACCTACAAATCATACACAGAATCACCTAATGAATCCATATGCCTGATTATGGAAGAAGAAGAAGAAATATTTACAGACACTCATGACATAGTAGAAAGAACATCAAGAGCAAAATCTGGGGACCTAGATCCTAGCCTTCTACATTTCTCCCCTGGAACTCACATTTTTAAAATTTAAATTTAAATACATAATAAGAAAAGAAAAAAGAAACATATTGAAACTTAAATATTAAAACTTGAATATAAAATAAGAAAAGAAAAATCATGTCATGTACACAGCAGAACATAAGAGAGGATTCAAAATACATAACAATAAATTTACATTTCAAGAAAGCCTACATATTAAATCCTATGTGTTGCATTGAGAGCTGTCTATCTTTTCTTTGCTTCCTTGTAGGTTTTCTTTTGTTCTCTGCTGTACACTTTTAACTTTGTTCAAGATTTTTTTTGCATATCTTTAATGTACTTGCTTCAAGGCTTCAAGGATCTGTGATTCTGTCAACGTGGGCACTTCTTACATAGAGACAGATCACATAGCCCCTCTAAAATTTATTGTGGTTGTTCAGTTATTTCAGTCATGTCCTGCTCTTTATGACTCCGTTTGGGGTTTTCTTGGCAGAGATAGTGGAGTGGTTTGCCATTTTCTTCTCAAGCTCATTTGACAGATGAGGAAACTGAGGCAAACAGGGTTAAGTAACTTGTCCAGGGTCACACAGCTGGGCCAGATTTGAACACAGGTCTTCCTGACTCCAGGCTGGGAGCTCTATCCACTGTGCCACCTATCTGCCCTAGTTGAAATTTATACGTGGTTTTTAATTGTGATTGAAAAATTCATCACAATGCAGCCAAACTAGTGATGAAACTCTATGCTAGCAGGTTGGTCCAAGGATAGAAAGCACACATTCTATCCCTGGGACCATACACTTCTCATGTATAATTTCCACTGTATGCTTATCTCTACAAATGCGATATTTCCCTAATGAGTCCCACAAGGGCAGTGACCATGATTTGTTTAAATTTTATATTTTCTTCAGTGTTTAACAATGCTCTTCACTCAGTAGAATCATAAAATTATTTGTTGAATTGAATCATGTGACATTAGCTGAATCATTTAATGATTCAAAATCTAATATTTAGATGACCAACTCTAGAGAATTGTTTTAAGGAAAGCATTTTGCACCATTGCGATAGGGAGCTTGTCCCTTAGATCATTCCTTCTTTCTCTCTCATCTTCAATATCAACTTCATCTATTGGCTCCTTCCTTCCTGCCAACAAATACGCTTACATCTCTCTATTCCAGAGATGGGGAACCTGCAGCCTCAAGGCCACATGTAGCCCTTTAGGTCCTCAAATGTGGTTATTTGACTGAGACCACACTTGAGGACCTAGAGGGCCACATATGACCTCTAGGCCACAGTTCCCCAACCCTGCTATTCTTTAAGAAATCATTGTTTAACTGTATCATCCCCTTGTGATATCATCCTATAATAGACCTCTCTTTAACAGTCAAACCCCTAGAAAGAGTTGTGTACACTTATTGTCGCAACTTCCTCATCTCTCACCAATTTTTCAAGCTTTTGAAATCTGACTTCTAACTCCATCATTCAAAAGAAAATGGTCTCTCAAAGGTTACCAAAAATTTCTCAATTGTGAATATTATATATTACTCCTCTTTCATGAACTCTAGATTCTAGCCAAAGTGGTCTACTAGGTAGTTCCCCATACTAGGCCTTCTACCTCCTATGTCTGCACATTCATATAGGATGCCCCAAGATTCTGAAATACACCCGCTTCTCACCTCCAAGGAAGATGCCCCTTTTCCTGACATCCCAATTGTTAATGTCCTTTTCCTCAATGAACTTTTCATTTATCTGAGTTTATGTTGTGTCCCTCCAATGATTCTAATCATAGAGATGTTTCCATGTATACATATAATATTCAGATTTCTCATCTTTTTCTATCTGTTGTTTAGCACATAACCTTAAATAATTAAACAGTGGCTAACACACACTTAAAGATTTTCATCATATTTCCAACCTCCACATCTTTGCACTTCTCAAAGTACACAGTACTCTCACATACTTCCCAAAGTATTTAAGATCACTTTCATTGTGTCTGCATGGTGTGAAGGAAAGAATACTGAACTGGGAGGCAGGAGACTTGATTGGACTTCCAGCTCTACCATAAGTTCACAGTAAGGCTGGAGCAAGTCACTTCCCCTCACTAGATCTCAGTTTCCTCTGCAAAAATGACAGAGTTGGACTAGATGATTTATAAGTGACCTTCCAGCTATAGGATGCTAGGATTTCATAATTGGGGATTACAGCATCTTGTAGAGAAATGAAAATGATTGAAATTAATGTAATAAAAATAAAAGCAAAAAGGTAAAAAATTAATTCATAACCGTAGAGAAGAAGAAAGTTTTCAACTTCATTTTGTTTGGTTTTCTATTATTCTGAACCATGACCCTGGCCATGGAGATACCAGTATTGGCTGATACAATGGATACCATCTGTATACAATAATGTTGACAGCTATCAAGGCTCCTGAAAATAATTGGGCCTTATCAACCCAGAAATAGCATTACACCTGGACCCCAAAATGATGCTATCTTTGGATATAGGAAGCCAGCAACAGAGACAAAGAGAAAAGGAAAGATAGAAACTAGAGCTCAAGTTACTAGACATCCTTAAACAAACATGTCAAGACAGCCTTATCAGATTTATCATACTATCTGCCATAAGTGGCTGATACAAATATATACTTGTATTTGAACAACTGAGGAAGAACATAAACTATTCTCACGTGAATTGTCCTTCCTGATTTCAACCAACCCTGTCTGCAGGTTTAGCATTTCTGCCTTTGGAAGATGACAAACACTCTGGCTGTTTCTGACCATGTGGAGGCTCCACAGTGAAAGATGCAGGCACTCTGAAATGATGAAGTGATTGATCGTTCACCGCTGAACTATGACATGGTGAGAGTTCACCATTTTCAATGTACCCAAGTGCTGAGCCAGTAAAGGAGGTCAATTGGGATCAGGAAACACAACTGAAAGCATGCTCCATGCTTCATCCACTGTATAGTAGAAAAAAATTACACTTAAACTTAAAAGGCTTGAGTGCAAGTCCTAGTTCTGAATTTCCTAGCTATGTGACTGTGGGCAAATAGTATTCTCTCTGAGTTTCAATTTTCACATCTTCAGAATGAGAATAATACTATCACTTGAAATCCCTACTTTATAGGGTGGTTGTAAGACATTTGTCTTGTAGACCATAAAGTACTACATTAAAGTTGAATTATCATTATTGTTATTCAGAATTAATGTCAATTTAGATAGGGCCTAGTTTGTATGTATCTGCTTCTTTAAAGAAAGGGTTTGCTGCTCCTTTTGAAAAACTACATTGTAGGGGATGTATTTAGGTGGTGCAGTGGAGAGGGCACCAAGCTTGGAGACAAGAAGACCTGAGTTCAAATCTAGCCCTAGACACTTAATAACTGGGTGACCCTGAACAAGTCACTTAACCATGATTGTCTCAGTTTCTTCATCTGTAAAATTAGCTGGAGATGAAAATGGCAACCCACTCTAGTATCTTTGCCAAGAAAACCCCAAATGGGTGACAAAGAGTTGGATACAACGGAAACAACTAAACAACAAAAGGGAACATATTTAATATACTTCCATAGGAAGAAAAACACACAGGCTCAATCATTGAGACTGTAAATCAACATTTTTCTATGTATTAATGTAAATTCACCAAAAATCTCTATTTAGCAATGTTTTTATGAACTGGAGTCTAGGTCGTGAGCTTTTTGAGTACAAAGACTATCTTTTGCCTCTTTTTGTATACCAAGAGCTGCACATGTTACCTGGCACATAGTAGGCACTTAATAGACTTGACTGTATATACTTGGAAATAAGTAGACTGCATTTTTTAAACCAAAAAATTACATTATTTAGTTTATTAGTAGTCCAAGCTGGCCTCCCAGTTTTCCCAAATCAGTGAGACTTGACTGCATGCAAATATATCCAGTTTCTTGATTGTTGCATTAGGAGGAAAGAAAAAGAAATAAAGAAGGAAAGCTATGGCTCTGTTTGCCCTCCTGTGATTCAGAAGAAAAACTGTAACACAGGGAAACAGGGAATTATGTTTATTTTCTCCCTGTTGGCAAATGTAGCTACAGTCTAGTAACCCAAACTGACAATCCTTTTCACTCTGAAAAGAGATGGAATGAAACCTGAAGCTAGAAAGAAGGATACCAGATAGTTGTCTGGTTTCCAGTGTCTGCAGGCCTGTCACTGGGAGGCCTTGGCTTACCTTCCGTTTGTTGGTAGGATTGACATAAAGGTAACTCAGGACAGTCTTGAGCCCCACTTTGTCATTCAGTTTCTCATAGGTAGTGCCATAGTCTGTTGACCTGTGGGGAAGAGAAAGAGAAAAGTAGAGATAAAAGGAAATCGTTTTACAAAATAGGGTTGGTGCATAAGTGGGAGACGAGTTCCTGCACCTCTGCTTTTGTTTCCAAATCACATGAGTGCTTAAAAGTGTTCTTCAGAGATTAAAAGCCCCATTAATTTTAGAAGTGCAATTATACTAATGCATCTGATCACTACCTGAGCTCACCACCCTTTGCTCCCTACCTTTTCTCAGAGACCTACTTTTCTGCCCTTTCTGAATCTGTTGGTAAAAGGAACAGTCAGAGACTTTACCACCTACACATTTAAAGTTCTTTGCTTCTACAGCCCAATAGGGGAGATATAAATTCCCCCAGCAGGTCTCCAATCTGGCAATGGAGGATACCACCTTCAAGATTCAGGGAGGATGTTAAAACTTCTGGTCTACCTATTTCTGGCTCTTTCGCTGAGGTTGCCAATAAGGAGACCCTGATTAGAAAGGGACTGCCCTCCCCACCTCCTGCAAAACAAAATTTTAAAGACCCCAAGAAATCTCTCTTCCTTCTCCTTACAAATCCAGAAACCATCCATTTCCTCCCTATCTCAAAAAAGGATCTGAAGCTCATTCAAACTGGCTTTTATTTCTGGCTTTATTACATATTACTGTACTGTATGCATTCTACATTCTAACCAAATGTCTTACTTCTTATTCCCCATATTCAACATTCCCTCTCCCATTTCTACGCCTTTGCATAGGCTGTTTCCTACACCTAGAATGCACTTACCCCTCACAACATTCTCTTAGAATCCCTCATTTCCCTTAAGGGCTCAGTTCAAGTGCCCTGTACTTCAAGAAGCCAATCTGGATTCCCTCACATGCTAGTGCCCCCTCTTCTTGGAAATTTTTTGGTATATTTTGTATTTCTATATCTCTATTTGTGTCATCCTCCCACCCCCAGGATCTGAACCCCTTCACAGCAGCACTGAATTGTTTTCTTTTCTTTCTTTTTTAATTCAGTTTCATTGCCTCAATGAAAAGCAAAATGTTATGGCACATAGTAGATGTTTAATAAATTAGTGTTAGCGAATAAAACAAGACTGATAATAAATATTTTAAAATCTCACACTCTTAACTTTGCTAGGTAGGTTTTTATTTAAATAGGGATCAAAGTCTTCAATTAAAGGGTTAAGACTGACATTTCAGGTAACTGAAATAGAGGACATTTTCCAGGGTAGGAGTGTCTTCCAGAGAGTTCCCTAAAATTATACTCAAAGTAAGGCCTATTCTTCCTAAGGTTAACGCTCTCCTTGCATGAAAAAGTAACTTTGGCAAGTCAGGAACTCCCAGGAGTATGCTGATAAATATTTAGCAACCAGCTCTCCAGATTTTTTTTTTACACATATAGACACACTTTTAAGTTTACTCTATATAATTAACACTTTCTTAAATCTAGACAATCAACAACACAATAAATCAAGCCTTGATTTGTAGCATTTTCTGAATCTCAAGGTGTGAATGCTCACGCTGAAAATTTAACAATCAGCTCTTTGGTTTAAGCTGTCTTCAGCACACCCCTGGACCACCCAAAATGAACCTGACTCCAAAGCCCCTAATGACCAGATCTTCCAGAGCAAAATGTTTGCCAGTCAAGACTCTTAGAATGATTCCAAGAACAGGCAATGTGACACTGGTAGGCTCTCATCATCCCCAATGCCTAGTGCTCAGTTGAGCCACTTGCTTAGCAAACTGGTTTCACAAAGAAGGATACTAAAGTTATCTAATTTCTTCTATATAAAGTGAAAACAACAGTAGAAATTGAGCAAAGAATATAATGTTATTTACATACAATGACAGAATGTGAATGTATGTGTGTGCACATGTACAGGTGTTTATGTGTGATATGCCTCTGAGCACGTGTATACACATACATTTTTGCTTTCTCTGTCAAACCATTTGTGATCTCCATTTTGCTTTCTTTTATTAAAATTATAACTTTTGCTTTTTTATTTAGCTTATGTATAATGAATTTCAATCTAGCTTTTCATTTGTTAGTATGTATGTTCTTATATTTTAGGCATATTTCTCATAAGATACATATTATTGTACTGTCTTTTCTAATTCACCTTTCTTCCTTTTATAGCTTAATTCATTCCCTTAAGTCTCAAGGTAATAATTGTTAAGTTGATATTTCCTCCACTGTATTCTGTTATATAGTTTTGGTCAACATAAGGTACAGAATAGCTTGTTTCTGTAGAATCACTCCAATCCCAGACTCTATATGCATATATAAGCACAGAGACAATACAGCACAACCTTCCCTCAGTCCCACATCATATAGATCATGAAATGCTACTTTTACTAATTAATCTAGTCTGACCTTTTCTGACTTTTTTCTAGATAAATATATGAATGTATTTTAGGAATTATCCTTTCTCTCATTCTCCCAACAACCCTGTTAGCTTATTATTTGTATTTAGCACCCAGATTCAGTGTATGATAATTCTCTATTGAATACTTCTCATCTCCCTTCCTCCTCAAGGGCATTTATATTTGTGTATTTCCTTATCTGGGTTTACCTTTCACCACCCCTCCATTCCCAATTTTTAGTAATCCTTTCTTCAGTGTTCCCTTTTAAAAGGTGCAAATTTTGAAATATAATAGGCTATTTCTCGCAACAAGGAAATAATACATCACATTCATCCTTTGTTTTGAACTCTTGTTTACCTTGTTAAAATTCTCTTGTTCAGAGCTATATTCTTTTGCCAAGTTTGAAAATCTTTGGCTGCATTCTCAGACAAGACGTCCTTCAGGATCTAAACTGGAATTAATTTTTGATGTGCAGTTTGATTTTTCCTGACAACTTCTAAAGATTTTATCTTTGCCATTGTAGCTTTGAAATTTAACAAGTACACTTCTGGGTGTGTAAAATTTTAAAATTCCTTCTTTTGTTGACTTTGCATGAATTCTGCTTCTATGCAATTTGCCTTTGGTTTGTAATATTTCCAGGTAATGTTTATGTATGATTTACTACAATGTAGAGTTCCTTAAAAATAATTTGAGAGGAGACAAATTCTTAATTTGTCCTGATGAACTCTGTCTTCTAATTCAGTTATTGTAGATCTTGAATCTTTTAAATTTTGTTCTTGTATTAATCCTTCATTTTTGTCTTCATAGAATTACAGATTTTGTATTTAGAAGTGAAAGAGATCTTTATGGTCACTTATTCCAAACCCAACATTTTATAGAAAAATAAACTGAAGCCAAGAGAGGTTAATGGACTTTCTAACTAAGTTAAGTATTAAATAGCAGAGTCAGGATTTGCATTTAGGTATTCTAACTCTAAATCCAACATTTTCCTTTATATCATATTGCATTTCATCTAAGATATTTTATCCTCAGTATAACCCCTGATTTGTTAAGATTTCCCATTGACTGTTACAAGCTGGGGAATTAAATGTTTGTCATAGTTCCTCATTTTATTTTCCATTTTTTTTTAAATGCCAAGACTTCCCTGTTTCACTTAGTGAGTTTATTAACCACTTTAAAGTATCTTGTGGTAGATCCAGTTTCATTTCTAAGGTGAAAAAACATTTTCTTATTGTAATGTTCTTTCTTTATGGAGCTCTGTCTTCACTTTTCTGTTTTTTTAAATTTTTGCAAATGGTATTTTATTTTTTCCAATTACATGCAAAGATAGTTTTCAACATTTTTAATGAGATTTTGAGTTACAATTTTTTTTCTCCCTCCTTCCCTCCCATCCTCCCTCCCCAAGATGAAATAGGTTATATATGTGAAATCATGGAAACATATTTCCATATTAGTCATGTTGTGAAAGAAGAAACAGAACAAAAGCCACAAACAACAACAACAACAACAAAAGTGAAAATAGTGTGCTTCAATTTGCATTCAGACTCCATAGTTCTTTCTTTGGATGTGGACAGTATTTTCCATCATGAGTCTTTTGGAATTGTCTTGGATCATTGTATTGCTGAGAAGAGCTAAGTCAGTCATAGTTGATCGTCACACAATGTTGCTATTACTGTGTATAATGTTCTCCTGGTTCTGCTCACTTCACTCAGCATCAGTTCATGTAAGTCTTTCCAGGATATTCTGAAACCTGCCTGCTTATCAATTCTTATAGCACAATGTATTCCATTACATTCATATACCACAACTTGTTCATCCATTTCCCAATTGATGGACATTCCCTCAATTTCCAACTCTTTGCCACCACAAAAACCTGCTATAAATATTTTTATGCACGTGGGTCTCTTTTCCCTTTTTTATGATCTCTTTGGGATACAGACTTGGTAATAGTATTGTTGGATCAAAGGGTATGCACAGTTTGGTTGCCCTTTGGGCAAAGTTCCAAATTGCTCTCCAGAATGGTTGGATCAGTCCGCAACTCCAACAATAATGCATTAGTGTTCCAATTTTCCCACATCTTCTCCAACATTTATCATTTTTCTTTTCTGTCATATTAGCCAATCTGAAAGGTGTGAGGTGGTACCTCAGAGTTATCTCAATTTGCATTTCTCTAATCAATAGTGATTTAGGGCATTTTTTCATATTTCATAGATAGATTTAATTTCTTCATCTGAAAACTGCCTGTTCATATCCTTTGACCATTTATCAATTGGGAAATGAATTGTATTCTTATAAATTTGACTCAGTTCTCTATATATATGAGAAACGAGACCTTCATCAGAGACACTGGCTGTAAAAATTGTTTCCCAGCTTTCTGCTTTCCTTTTAATTTTGGTTGCATTTGTTTTGTTTGTGCAAACACTTTTTAATTTAATATAATCAAAATTATCCATTTTGCATTTCATAATGCTCTCTATCTCTTGTTTGGTCATAAACTCTTCCCTTCTCCATAGATCTGATAGGTAAACTATTTCTCACTCTCCTAATTTGCTTATTATATCATCCTTTATGTATAAATCATGTATTCATTTTGACCTTATCTTGTTACACAGTGTGAGATGTTGGTCTATGCCTAGTTTCTGCCAAACTATTTTC